TGTACACGCTCCCCTCGACGTCGGGAGTTTCAGACATTCCGTGATGCTGCCCCTCCTATAAAAGCCCGTTACATAAGTTGTAGCTTCTCACCTAGACCTGACCCGTTCAACGGTCTAGTGCTGAACCCCTTCCCAGCCATACCACCCGCGCTGACCCAGACTCAATCCTGCGTACTTGCCCTCTACCTTCTCGCCCCAGAGTGCGGGCAATGTGTCTGTTCAACCGTGACCCGGATTAGTGTCGTCGTGACACGACGTTCATCAACTTCAAACCCTAAACAAAGTACCTCCACCACACCATAGTACCTAACTGAAGTATCTCTTTACCTGAATTTGTGCGCAAGGTTGTAAAGGAAAGAACTGGACCTTCAGACACGGCCTCTACAAATATATGTGTCCAGGCTACCGACTCGCGCCCCGTCCAAACTCCGCAAAATGCCTACATGGACTTTAATTGCTAAAAAGTAAGTTTTTCCGTTTTTTTGTCCTTGGTGGTTCTAGGAATATTTTATATAAAATTGTGTTTTCTATTTAACTTATTGTACTAAGATTATTTTTGTAATCATGCATGGTATTTTTTTAATTAACTTTTTTTCGTTTTTTTTAAATCTCACGTACCCCCTGCAGTACCCCAACGTACCCCTAGGGGTCCGCGTACCCCCATTTGAGAATCCCTGTTGTAAAGTTGCTCCTATTTCTCTTGCTTATTTACCCTGCTGTTAAAACTGTGGAAGCGTCTTTCATGTTGCTTCATGGACGAGAAGATTCATGCCGTGTCTCCTGAGAGAAATCTGCATAATCATGAGCTATGGATGAAGATTAACTCCTCCAGCAAAGATGCATAATTCAACATCACCTGTATAAGACGTATGTTTTACTCACAATAAATACTGATTTATCTGCATAGGTGTGTCCCCGACAGAAGTGTGACAGTGTCCTGTGGATAGACTAGTGCTTTAATTAAGGTGTATCCAAAGCGCAGTGACGCGCAGGTTGTTCAGAAACATAAAGGGGGCGGGGGTGACTTATTGTCTTGTATCAACACGCTTGATTCAATGCCTGAGAAAATGGCAATCTCAAGGTTTCTCTCCGTGTCCTTTCTGCTACAGAAGATTTGTGGGCATGCTTTTAGAACTACCAGCCTTGAGTGTGCATAGGCCCTTTCTTTACCAGTGTAAGGCTTCTGTCCATTGTTTGCATGCTTTATTTATTTATCAAATAGTCAGTTGCCTTTTGCATTCATTCAAAGAAGATCTACGAAACTCAGATACAGATTGCATGTATCAGTGTTGGTGGTGGCCATGTTCACTGAAGCTTGGGCGGTTATAGTGGGTATACCTAATTCATTTCACATGTTGACATTGACCGAAAGAGGAGGTTAGACTTGGAGTGATGTTTTCTGGTGATGGCACTGACACTTCTGACAATTTTAAAATCAGGAAACTGCGTACCAATTGTATTTTTTTATTAAAAGTGAAAAAGTGAAACCTTTGTTTATTCCACTCACAGTTTTTAAGGGCGGCCATTACACCCTTTAAAATACAATCAGGCAGCTAGTAGTAGTACTGTGGGTGTTGCTCTTGCAAAGACATCCTAATCTCTCTCTCTTTGTTTAAAGCTACGTTTTTTCAATACAAACTGCGCAATGGAGGGGACAACATTTGCATCATTAAACCACGTGCCCATATAATGTTAGCGACCTGGCTAACGTTAAGGCCCGGACACACCAAGCTGACACCAAAGAACTGACACAGACGGACCCCGACTGTTGTGTCGCCTCGCGTCTCTCTGCGTCTTGGCCAACAGTCGCACTGGAACACACCGCAAAGACTTCAGCCGACGGCCAAGAAGCAGGTACGAACTGCGCATGCGTGAGTGGCAATAACTCTCCTTACCAGCAGGCGGCGGTAGTGTGTATTCGTCATTCAAAAGAGGCAACAACCGGAAGACAGAGAAGAAGAACAGACTGCGTGATATAAACAAACAACACATAGCGTGTGCGTTCCATGTTCACTCTCCAGCAGAAGCTCACGGGGCTTTCCTGAACCTGTGTCGAGAGCTGGAGTTAAAAGAAACCTCAGATTTGCCTTCTTAATAGTTTGTTTGGGTCCCTCACTTCCGTTTCGCTTCTCATGCACTGATTCGCTAAGCTGAACAGCCAATCAGAGTGCTTTATTTGGCCGACTGCCTTGACGCCTTTTCGGCCGATAAGGCGCCAGGGTCGGCTGAAAGACCCGACGGTGCGGGACACACCAATCTGAGTAGGGCGTGTCAACGTTCATCGTCGGCCTGACGCCCACCAACGCCGATAATCGGGTTGGTGTGTCCGTGCCTTTAGTGACCAAAGCAAGAAACAACTTTACCTAACCTTCCTCTCATTGCTATGATACAGCTGAGCAAAACACCCCGTTGTATTAATACGTTGTAAGGTGTTGCTACTTACAGATCTTGTGAAGTAGAGATAACTTAGAATCTCTCTTCCTCTATGCTCCCACCAACAACTTTATTGGGGTTACATTTGAGTTTCCATAGTTCACAATACTCTAGTTGTTCTATCGTCCGCCATTTCTGCTACCAGGAGATACCTACTTTTTGTTGAGTTGCAAACTATTTTGTTCAGTTCATTTTGGCATTTGCTCTCCGGTAGGTGCTGATGTAGTATGTGCTGTAGGTCCAGGGCTTCTATTGTGAAAGGGAAAGTGCTACCCAAAGGCAGACAGAGCTATATCCCCAAAGCAAGGCTTATGGAACTAGTTGAAATGCAGAGGGTGACATTATCCTAGAGCAATTTCGTTGTGCAAACAACATTTACTTCCTTATAATGAGCTAAAGCAACAATATTAAATCCATTGAGCTACACATGCATACACTCACATTTTAAACAATTCTGAATAAGCTATTTAGAAGTCTTTGGATGCTGATTACTGTGAGGTTTTTCTCAGTAATTGTAATGGACTTCGGTCACCATCATTTGTAGCTTCATTATTATAAATCCATTTCATATTATTGTATTGCAAAGCCCTGCATGTTACTATAATAACACCACTTTCCTCCGTAGCTCAGTCGCAAAATAAGACATTACAGTCCTGGTACTTGCATTAAAATACATTAGTGGGATTTATTATCTCTATGAGAATGCTTATTTGAACCAAACATCCATTTCACATTTCCATTGAGTCAAGCTCGATTAAATTCAACGTGTTGAAGATGGAAGAGAGTATTATCAAGCCAAGCTGGTTTGTGAAAGTCTAATTAAAGTCCTGCTTTTTAATGCAATATAAATGTCAAGCTCTGTGTGTGGCAGGATATTGAAATCAATAGGGCTTTAATATATGGGGATCCTCCGTCTGTGACAGGGATCAGCATGTCTGCGTCACATGGTGAAAGATGGTGCTTTGGAGTAGGCGGAGGTCTAGAGGCTCAGACTGTCTGTCCTCTGATCTAAAGCTGCTCTTCCATTTGTTTGACACCGGAGCAGAAGCGCAGCATCAAAAAATAGCTCTGGTTCATTCTTCAGAACAGTAAATCACGTCCGGAAAACTGGATTTGTTTTGGCTGCTTAACACTCTGTTGTCATTGTTGATAGGAATATATTTCCTTTCGCATTCTGCACCATCCTGTAAACATGCATTGGTTTGAAAGGGACAGCTCTTTCTTGGTTTGTATATGTACCTTTGTGACAGCTTTATAGGGCCTATAGCACCAGGAGAACAAAGTCATGAATTTCCCAGCAATCCTTTTGTCTTTAGTTTTTGAGAAACATTACTTACTCAGGAAGTAGAATTTATTACCAAAGAAAAATCTCTGCAACAACAAGGGGTCATGGAAAAAGGAGCAAAACATACATTATATCACACAACAAAATGTATACAAGTATATCCACATGTAGATACTGAATTCAGACATCAAGCCATAGTGTCAGCATTTACATATATATGACTGTCTGCAGTCACACCAGACTGAAAGAAAATAATTTCTTTCTGATGTTAACGGGAATGAACAGAGATTGGCAGCACGGCCTTTTAGTTAGCTGAGCTGAGTGTTTGTGTGTTGTGTTTTACGAGCCCCTTATATCAAATGTATAGTATGTATCATAGTCGGTTGCTTTCTCAAAGCTCCATAAAGAACAAAGCGTGTTGGTTGTGTGAGTGAAAGGGAAGCAGCTTCCGCAATGTTATTTTCAGATTGTATCAGTCAGAGTATGTTAAGCACTAAAGTGTTTCAAGCATTTAACACGGCTGACGTCCATTAGGCTGATCTGGGAGGAAGGGAAGTCCGGGCAGTGGGAGACCAAGGGTGGGGGTGTGTCTTAGGCACATTTCCGCTCAAGCTGATTACAGGACCTAGTCTAGACAATACCGAGAATTAGAGATAGGAGAGGGGTGGGAGGGATGAAGGGATGTAGGGGTCAAGAGGTCAATGGTTGGAGGGATGAAGGGGAAGTGGGTGAGGCTGAAGGAATGAGGGGTGGAAGGAATAAAGGGATCTAGTGATGAAGGGATGAGGGGTGGATGAGTTCATGTAGGGATGAATTGCTCGATGGAAAGAGAGGATGAACGGATGAGGAGAGGGACGATTGAAGGGATGTTGTGATGATTGTGGTTTTTCTCTGGAAGTCTTTCCTTGTACGATGTGAGGGTCTAAGGTCAGAGGGTCCAAGGTTAGAGGGTGTCGTATTGTCATACTGATATTCTGTACAAACTGTGAAGTCCACTGAGACAAATCTAACATTTGTGATATTGGGCTATATAAATAAACATTGATTGATTTATTGATTGATGAAGGGATGAGGGGTGGAGGATTCAAGGGAAGAAGGAATGAGGAGAAGGAATGGATGTTAGGAGGAAGGAGTTAAGGAGTCAAGGGGTGTATGTCTGGAGGGATGAAGGAATGAGGGGAGGTTATTGATGTCAAGGGGTCAATGGTTGGAGGGATGAAGGGGATGTGGGTGAGGCTGAAGGGATGAGGGGTGTAAGGAATAAAGGGGTTAGGGATGAGGGCTAGGAGGGATGAAGGGATTTAGTGATGAAGGGGTGAGGGGTAGGAGGGATGAAGGGATGAGGGGTGTAAGGAATAAAGGGGTGAGGGCTAGGAGGGATGAAGGGATATAGTGATGAAGGGGTGAGGGCTAGGAGGGATGAAGTGATATAGTGATGAAGGGGTGAGGGCTAGGAGGGATGAAGTGATATAGTGATGAAGGGGTGAGGGGTAGGAGGGATGAAGGGATCTATAACGGGATTAAGGGGTCAATGGGTGGTAGGATAAGGGGTGTTGAAAGTTAACTTATTACCTTTATTGAAAACGCGTTGGATGACCTTTTGTATATTATAGGCGCTATAGTGTGCCTTGCCTCAAATGTTTTTCTGTTAACTTAGTTATAACCTTTTAAAAAAGCAACAGCAAGGGAGAGTTTTCTAGTTCGTTAATGAATTGTCATTAGTGCTACGGTACAGAATCAATATAGAAATGATTACTGTATAGTTATATTAGCGGTGGTAGCGTTGAAAGTATGAGTGTAATGTGTACCTGCTGAAAGTACCCTGTCCTTTAATCTCACTGCGTCTGGCAGAAATCATTATCAGTCGGTCCGGTTGCTAAGTTGCAGGTAGTAATCATAAACCAATTTATATTTTAATGAGCGTGACATTAGATGGAAGTGTTGAATGGGCCGTGCTCAACGATGCTAAGCAGAGGCAGGGAGGGAAGTTTGAGTCCTATTAAAAGAAGTAGAAAACCAGCTGACTATGATTTGTGGTAATTGGCAAGGCGTTCTGCTTGAGAGTGCAACACATCCCATTCAGTCACACTTTGTGGCTTCCATTCAAAAAGCAGCAAAAAGCATAATTATTTTTATTGCTTTCCCCCGCACAAAGTGAGTTCAATCGATTCAAACTGGATGGCTCCGGTCCCTCACAAGATATGACACTCGGTATTATAACACCTAATTATTTTTGCTGACTGATCCCGGGCCTGGCAACATTCACATAATGAGACGCTCCTCTGCCCTTCCCGCTTGAATTGTGAAGCGTCACCAAAGTTGCTGTGAAGTGGTGAAACTGGGAAGCGATACAAAAGTTACGATTCCCAGGAAAAACTCAAACCAAAAGCAACAGTCGACCAGCAAAACATGACGTTGTTCATGCTGCCATACCTCAGGAGATGGAAGAGAAAGATGGGAACATAGTGTCCCACGGGGTCAATGATGAAAAGCAAAAAGTAATATAAAACAACTACCGCTTTTCAAAATGAGATATAAACTGCTTTTGCAGAGCTCTTTGTAAGGCCTCCCACACAATGAGTGCCCTGGTACGACCTGTTCTCAGGGCCGCGTCAGCATCTACAATATTAAACTCTCTTGATAAAAGGTGTAGAATAATAGAGCTTCATCAGTGGAGTATTGTGAGGTGCTCTAAAGGGAAATGTGATGTTAAGTGAAAGCAGCCATACCACACTCCACTGCAGCTGAAGTCTGTACTGCACTGCATTCATCATGTGTAAGAAGAAGAAGTATCAATACAAGCAACAAAAAGTACTTGAAGTCTCAAGAGTGTTATTCACTCTCCGTCCTAAGCGGCTTGTTGGAGCTCCTGCCCCCTCCCTGTGAGCCCAGTGTGCTCTGATTGGTCAGGACGTTGCGAGGCTGCTGCTGAGGAGCGGACTGGTGTGGTTTCCGGGTCGGCGATACAGCGGGACAGCGCAAAACTCATCCTGAGAGCACACAAACACTCACAGCCGAAGTAAAAGCAATAAGTGTGTCTTGATATTGAGTAAGAAAAAGGTTTCTAACGCTGTGAGAATGGGTCTGCAGAGAGCATTTCTCCGCCATCCCAACTCGTCTATTACCAACCAGGGAGCTCTATGCAAGTCAATGGGACTCCCTGTTAGTTGAACATTTACGCTAAAGGTCCTGGTGTGTGATGAGCTCCGCGGATTGGTCCATTTTGGATCCGGGAAGAAACAAATGGAGAAAGAGAAATCTCCAACGAGGCGTTCTGGGGCAGCATAGACAGGTCTTTTCTGTGTTAGAGTTTTACTCGCTACAGGGTGTACTTTGAGGGTTTGTGGCTCTGCAGATCGTTTACATGCAGAAAAACCTTCATAACACACAAGGGGACGGGTAATAACCGTAAAAGCATGACATGGGACCTTTAAAGAGAGATTGAGCAGGAATTCCCTATTAAATGTATAAATGGAGTTGCATATTAAACTAGACCCAGATAGCAACTTGCATGGTGGTCTGAAATGCCAGATATAATATGGGACATTAACATTCATTTTTATAGTGAATACAATAGTAAGAAAATGAAATAATAACTATTGAGATTTATTTTTTATTTAACATAAACTTTGATTATTTTTGGGCCCGATTAGCCTTTATTGGAGAGTGAGGGTGTTGAAAGAGGAAGATAGAGGGGGCAACATGCGTAAAAGAGCCGAAGCAGGATTCGAACCTGCGTCTGCCGCAGCTGTAACCACTGAGCTTAACCTTAGAGTATGTTTCTTATTACTTGTTGTTGAAAATGCCTTTGTTGAGGTCTCATGTACCACTACGTTTTCCCCATGTTTCTTTTTATGCTGCACCAGAATTGCGCTTCTGGGACAATAAAGCTTTATTGAATTGAATTGAAAGCGTACCTGGATCCCCACTGAGGCTGTGAAATCTGACCAGGCCGGCCAGTCGTCCTGGTCGAAAGGATCCTCAATAGACACCACTGAAAGAAAGACAGATGGTTTTTAAAAAATAATATAATAACTAATAACACAACCTTTGAGACCCCTTTGTTATCTCTATTACCCACCTACAAGTCAATAGCACTAAGCAGCGGTGATATAATGCCTTGAAATGCACTCACACACAAACACCCACACAAGCAGGAAGCACACCATTGACGGGGTAAAGAGCCACATCAGAGGAGGTCCCTGCTTGCCAAATGTTCGCTGTAGTGCATAATTAAAACCTCTTTAACAGCCCGGGAGTCAGAGGAGACATCCAGCTCTCTTGTTCACTTAGTTTCCCCATAAAAAAAGGTGATGAAAGAATTATGGCAGGCGTAGACATATAGAAAACAAGCTAGTGTGTCCATTTGCTGATAGAGATCCAATCAGATGTTAACAGTGATGCTGTGTTTCCATGAGACCTGTGCCAGGAGAAATATTGTTACTTTAAAGGTCCATGATGAATTCTCCCCTCTATGTAACTATTCCCAGCTGTGAGGGTGTGTCTGAGACATGTTGGACTTGTTTCAGGACACACACACGAGAACACACACCTGGGTAGTCCTTGATGAAGCCCTGGTAGATGCTGGCCAGCTCCTCTCCGCTGATGTTGCGGGCGGCGTTGGGCGGAGACTTGAAGTCCAGGTCGTACTTCCCCTCGCTGAAAAACTCTGACGCAGCGACGTCCATCCCGATCACCACTTTGTCTGTGAAGCCCGCTTTCTCTATGGCTGTCTTTATCAGCTCCAGGGCTGACGGAGAGAAGCAGAAAGATGTCAAATCACAGGCTTTTAAAGGGGGGAGTTTGCTTGTTTTGAAGTATGTGTATGAGGAAATTATTATCAAAATTCAGGGTTGTTTCCTACAGTAGATGTTGGTCACCAAACCCCCAGTTATGGGAAGGAGGAAGAAGTACAGGCATGGAAGCTAAGCAGATGTTCCGAGGTTGATGTAGATATGACGTCTCCATTGGTTAGTTTATTTGTGTTTTTTCAGACTTGGGTGAATACCAGAGATGGAGTACTTGAGTTCTGGACTCGGACTCGAGTGCCGATTTTTGGGACTCGTGACTCGACTCGACTCCGACTCGCGCACTGATTGACGCGACTCGGACTTGAACTCGTGAATTCTCGCGCACGATGACTCGGACTCGTGAATTTTTCCCCCCACGATGACTCGGACTCAACTTGTACATTGACGCTCCGACTTGGGCTCCGACTTGGACTCGGACTCGGACTCGAAGAGTGGTGACTCGAGAGTGACTTGGACTCGTGAATTGGTGACTTGACTTCAACACTGGTGAATACTAACAAATCCTTAAACACACCAAACCCTGACAGCAAAACTAAATGATGGAGGCAGCGGTAGGCCAGGAACTCCTGTGCTCTGCGGGGTAGAATGACTATTTATTTCAAATGAGTCGTGTGGTTTTTAGTAAGTAATAATAATGGCTACAGTTCCATGTCTTAAAGTGCTGTTTGACAACAAGGTGCGACTATTATAAATACAGCATACACTTATGAGTGTTGGAAGGAGATTGTAAGGAATGCTCTAATGTTGAGGCAAACTATGGATAAGGGCCTCATACAATCTCTTCAAGGTAATAGTAATAAAGCTTTATTTATATATAGCACTTTTCATACAACACATGCAGCTCAAAGTGTTTTACAAAATGACACATCAGAAGTTAAAAAGAAATTCCCCTCAGATTATTTGTTAAGAACTTTCCAGGTACATGCAGCAAATATAACATTTCATCAGGTTAATAGATAATGGTTTCTCTCCGACAGATAAGAAAACTGAGTCGATGCAACAATATAAAATATAAAACCCCATAAAACAAAGTGAACATATAGGTACAACGAAATACAGATAATTGTAATAAAAATGCCTTCTAATAAAGGTTAAACGATTAAGAAATAAAAAAGAGAATATTTAACATTTGTCTTTACTTACCTTCCCTGTTCTCCTGTATGTTTGGGGCGAACCCTCCCTCATCCCCCACGTTGGTAGCATCCTGACCGTACTTCTCCTTGATGACGTCCCTCAGGGTCTGGTAGAGCTCCGCCCCCATCCGCAGAGCGTCACGGAAAGACTCCGCCCCCACAGGAAGTACCATAAACTCCTGCATCGCCAGCCTGTTCCCAGCATGGGAGCCGCCGTTGATCACATTGAAGGCCTGAGGTAGGGACCGATAACACAGATGAGATTGTATTGTGTTTGTAAGAATAGAGGGGTGCAGGAATGAGTCCTAAATGTAGAAATTCGTCAACATTTTAGCACTTCTGGGTTCCCTTGTCTCGCAGGCAATGGTTTTTGGTGAAAATAAAGATCTGTGGTTAACACAAGCTTATGAGATGTTCACGTTTTGTTCTACATGAATGTCTGAAGCTTCTATGTGTCTTAAAAAGAGTTTTCTATCAAGTGACTAAATGAGACTATTAAAACGTCATCACACCAAACGTTAGCCATCTTTAGCTTAGCAGTGGTGACGCACACGTGGCTGCATGTAGTTCCTTTATATAGGCCCTCCAGAAAAACGCGATTCTGCGATCGCAGAATTTACCGCATAATCAGCAAAATGGCGAAGATTTTTAAAAAGCCGCATATTCATCAAAAGGCCGCATAATCCCCGCATTTTTCCACACAAAGTTGAGAAGAAAAAAAAGTTAACTCGTCTTGACNAGTGTGTGTGTGTGTGTGTGTGTGTGTGTGTGTGTGTGTGTGTGTGTGTGTGTGTGTGTGTGTGTGGGGGTGGGGGGTGGGTGTGTGTGTGAGATTAAAATAGCCCAATTGCTTTTACAATAAATAAACATTGAATGTGTTTAATTGAATAGTAAAGGGGTTTAACGTTAGTGGCAGGTTGTGTGTGAGAGACAATAAATAAGACAGCCCAATATTTAAAAAAATTGTTATTCTTTTCCCCCGCATATTTAGCATATTTCGCAACTTTCCGCATATTTCCTAACTTCCCGCAATTTCACCGCATAAAATCACATAAAACCCCGCATGTTTAATCGCATAATCAGAGGAATTTAGCCCGCGTTTTTCTGGAGGGTCTAAATTTATAGCTTATTGTTAGCTTATTAGCTTTAGCTTGTGGTGATTGAACAAAACATGTAAGTAGCATAAACGTGTGTTTTCCACAGATCTTATTTTACAGCTATAATCCAATATCCAATGGAAAAATCGTATTGGCTTCATGTCGAGTGATCCCTTGCACTGCTTACTTCGTGGTCAACCCAGGGGGGTCAAACTCAAGACCCGGGGGCCAAATCCGGCCCTTGACTTCATTTCATGTGGCCCCACAAGAGCTTGCAAAGAATATAATATGTTTATTATACGGTTACATGATGATTTACAGAAGCACGTTGCCCATAAACTACATGTCCCACAATGCATCTCAAATTACACTTTTTCCTCAGAATTTGACTCTTTCTTAAAAAATGAACTTTTTTTTTAAATGTCACTTCTGTTTTTGCCTTTTTTTCCCAGCTTTTCTTTTTAAATCATTTTGTGACATTCCCACTGAAGAGACTTGCAATTATTTGCCCCAGACTTCTGCTTTCAGACGCAGTTAATTGTGAAGTTATTACCCTATCCGATAATAATCCAATGCAGAGGCAATAATGTAATATAATACATTATTTTATATATTTATATATAAGTTAACCGGCCCTTTGAGTGCAGCCATAATGCTGATGTGGCCCGCGATTAAATTGAGTTTCACACCCCTGGCCTACACAGATGCATCATCACTGCACCACTCCTTTGAATTTTCTCAGAATAAAAAGAGGACTCACAGGCACTGGGAGGACCAACTCTTCGTTTCCTGCCAGGTCAGCGATGTGGCGGTACAGGGGGACTCCCTTCTCTGCTGCACCAGCTTTGCATAAGGCCAGAGATACTCCCAGAATAGCGTTGGCCCCAAACTTAGCTGGAGAGAAAACACAACACACAACACATGGGTGCTGCAGGCAGGGACCACTGGTGCGGAAAACACATGATAACACAAACATGCCATCACCTCACATGAGATGCCAGCGAGGCTTACATTTGTTTTCAGTGCCGTCCATTTCGATCATCATGTTGTCTAGCTTCTCCTGCTCCAACACATTGATTCCCTGAGAGAGAGACAACATGTCAGAGACCTTCGCCATGCTGTTCAGCCATTTTATGCTTTAAAGGTGACATATTGTGCTCAGTCAAGGTCATGCTGTTATTGTGGGCTTCTACTAGGACATGTTTACTTGCTTTAACCCTGCTGTTGTCTTCGGGTCAAATCTGACCGATCTGAGACTGCCCAAGGCACACANTTTCATGTTGTTTATTTATAAGGCTATACTGCAAACATTGCCTGCTTCTGCTCTCAGGTTTGACCTAAATACAATGTTTAAAGTGTCATATCACAGGACGTTTTACATGAGCTGTATTCTTGTTCAAACCAAATTTGGAGATAGTGGCTTTAAATAGTACATAAATGGCTCTGAGGTCACCTGCAGATTAAGTTGTGAAAATGTATGTCTTTGACTGATTTGCATGTGTTTGTATTTTATCTACTCAAAAAGAACACCTGTTAAATAAAGGATCCAATAAAAAAGTCCACCCAAGTAAAAAATAATGAAATAATTGTAGTAAGAATATCATTATTATTTAATCACATGGGGTTTGGTGACCCAGATAATTCCCTTATTAGCCAGCTGAACCAAAAACACAATTTTCTCAGCAGATTTGTGAACATGCCAGAGTGAGGAAAAGTGCAGGTGTGATTTATAACATGTTGGGGCTCTCTGGGTCACTTACGTCGAACAGAGCTGTTGTTAATTGCTGTTGGTCCTGCAGATCAATCTACTGACCTGAAACACCTGTGTTCGGGTTCACTCTCCAGCAGGTGCAACAACTTATATTCTCTGTAAGGCAAGGCAAGTTTATTTATATAGCACCTTTCAACACAAGGCAATTCAAAGTGCTTTACACAAATGAAACATATTATACAATTTCAGGCTTTTAAAAACACTCATTTAAAAGCAAAGATAAAACATGAATAACAAGTGACAGAGCAGTGTGAGATACACACATCTGAAATGTTTAGCTCTGACTCTCAATCGTTGCTCACTTTTTAGCAGAAATAGATAAAATATAAATTATATTTGATGCAACTTTAGTTACATTTTCATGACTTTTCCAAAACTTTGGGGAACATATTGTTTTCCAGGGCCTGGAATTAGCATTTTGAATTTCCATGACTTTTCCAGGTTTTTAATGACCGTATGAACCCTGATATACATGTACACGCACATGTATACATTCATATGTACACATTTACATACATATACACACACATGAATTAGGTTTATTTCAACGGCTGAAATAATAATTTAATACCAAAAACCATACATGAACTACATCTGTGCTTTTTCACAAGCCTTAAAGGCGTCGAGGGTTTTTTAACGAGAGCAAACTCAGTTGCATTTTAGGGAAAATACTAAAGAAAATGGTATTCTCAGTGTGCAAAAGGCGAAACTGTCCGAGGGGGCGGGGAAACATTTGACTTTATAATGTGATGAACTTGAGGACCCAACACTCACACATGGCTGTGTGTGTTTTGTTCTATCAGCGTTGCTGCACTTAGTTTTCTTTACAAGCCTTTTGGTTTCAAGACCCTGGTTCGCGGAGGATACCAAATAATTCCTAGAAAGACAAAGTAAACTTAACTAATGTGCATTTAAAACTAAAAGTACCATGGGGTCGGATTAGACATTTCCAAAGGAGGTTCGTTTAGCATTAAACACTTGAAATAACGAAAGGATAAGTTAAAAAAGAAAGCAGAAAGAAAGTGGGGTCAAAGAAAACTAATCGTCGAAGTAGTAATACTATAATGATAATAACATGTTTCATATGCAGACCTTATTTTCCTGTTCCATGTTATAATAAACCATTTTCAGTGGTACCGCTGAGAAAGAGTCATTTGTTTTGGTCATGGAAAATTAGGTAAAGGTCACGGAGAAGTCATTGAGAATCATTGGTGAAAAAGTGTATGAACCCTGGTATATGTTTGTATATATAGAAGCTAATGGGCGTGTATGTGAACGGACATATTTATGTGTATTTATATACATATATAATTATGATTTATTTGTATACGTTTAATATTCAAAGATCATGGGAGAGGTCTTGCTATGTGGATATACAGTATATGTAATTTTATTATTTAGATAATGTTTTGTTTTGTTTCTATCAATGGCGAAACATACCTCTTATAACGTTTGCCGTTAAAATGCAATTACATTTGGGTCCCTGACCAACCGTTGAAATTGGATGACTCGAAGGAGGGTATTAATATTGAATTGAATTAGAAGTATAACAAAATGTAATAGGTGATAGTTTGAATTAGTGTGTGTTATAAAATGGGGAATAGGGGATTGTAACATTTGATGTGACCCAGAGATATTTTAAGTACAGTAGTAATGTAAACACAGAGGATAAAAGTGGTGGTGGTGATTTGAATGAATCACTTCCACCTCACATGTAATCCCTTCTCTGCTTCGAGTCCTTATTGCTGTTTCTAAAACAACTTTTAACATGCAAGGCAATCACTATAATGAAACAGCACATGTCGTTCCACAGGCAGGATATCGTTTCCTACGTTCTCTCATTAACTCCTGAACCTCTGAGCAAAGGTGTCCGTGCTGCAAACAGGCACTTAAACCCATTGACACAATTACATGCTATGCTGAACAGCACTAGAGGCAGTAATGTGAATAAACCCCGGCAACAAAAAATTATAATTGTGTCAATAATTTGGCAACAGAATGATGGTTTCAGAGAGCTGGAGGATCAATGGGAACTTCAGCGTTGTGAATATAACTTTACCAGTCATCTTTTTGCAGTTGAAACGAATTATATAGAAACCTCAAGCATGTGAACTTCTGCGTTTATGTAATTATAGAGCCCGATCCTTCTATTAAACCTGAATACATAACTATAGGCTATTATGCTAATGTTCTCTCTGCATACTCCAGGTGGGGGTTTTCGGTGCAACATTTGATGGACACCTTTATTCCAAATGCCGCACAGAGACATCACAACATGCTATTAGGCCGTACGGATACGCATTCTTTCAATTTGGTCGTCCACGCTGTGATCGACAGCTTATCTCAAACCTTCTGAATGATCAGTCTGCAGCTCAAAGCAAACATTAATAAGTATTTGCAAATGGTATCTGAGCCCGCTCTTCTCTGTTTGTATAAGACAGGAAATCCATTACTACAATGCTCATATCTATCGGATTAAATGTTCAAGACAAAACAGCCGTTAATTAAGGGTTATTACAGAATATTAATGGCCTGCTTTGTCTCATTAGCAATTAGAGAGATAATTATGTGTGCTAGCATTTAAGGCGTACCATGTTTACAGAGTGTAAGCCTGGTCAGTAAACATCAGCCCTTTAATCATTCCTGTACTAGTTTATCATGGATTCAGGTATCTTATCTTTAGTTAAGTACAATATAATGGATAGATAGAGAGATGGATGGATGGACAGATAGATGGATAGATGGACAGATGGATAGATAGATAGATAGATAGATGGATAGATGGATAGATAGATAGATAGATAGATAGATAGATGGATGGATGGATGGATAGATACTTTATTGATCCCAATTATGTTGTTCCAAAGGCAGCAGTGTATGTAGACATTAAAATACAAATAGTTAAAAAGTGCAATAGAGAACTAACAATTCAAAATAAAATGAAAATGTTTATATAAAATATAAACAATTTAAAATATTCTGCATAATTAAAATACTGCAGTAGCATGAATAAGGGCTTATACTACAGGAGCATACTGTACATAAATAGGATAGTATAACATTATATATATATATATATATACACAATATAATAACTATGTTCTAAAAATACTTCATGAAAGGAAAATACAATACAAAATGAAAGCACAGATGTTTTATCAGAAACATATTGATATTATTTTATTATTATTTTTTATCACCAACAAATACATTTAAAAGCATGTTAATCGCGTGGTTTGTCAACGTAGAACCAATTTAGATGATTTTAAAAGATACTGTGTACATGTATACAGTACTGCGTCATATCATATCAGAATACGATGTTCTTATATGCAGAATTAGCTGGATACCATACGTCTAAAACACAGGTAATGGAGTGAAAAGTACTTCTGAAATGTCAGGGAATAGAATTATAAAGTAGCATGAAATATAAAAACTTCAGTAGAGTACAGAAAGACTCGAAATAGTATTAGAATACAATACTTTTCACCACTGCATTAAAGTATTAAGTGACATTAAAGGAAGTGTCAATGAGCAGGAGATTGTCTGATACATTTAATGCGTGTATTTTCCAAATTAAAACAGACATTACATGTTTGTCCTTTTTTGGTTTTAACACCAAACTCAGCTGCTGTGATATTAAAGTATTTCAGAATCACAGAAATAACAGTGAGACATTGTGTCGTAATGCTCTTTTTTGACATGGGGCTAACAGTGGGAACACGAAGTTGATAATCACATACAGCAGGTTCTTAAAGGCAACTCTAATGAGCAGCAGCACCCCAGGTATTCCTCTGCAGTGTTACTTCAACAGAGTCAGACAGTGTTGTTATTCCCTGAGAACACTCTGAATATAGTTTCTACCCTTCAGCTTCGCCTCTTGCCGTGCAAAGCCTCACAAAGAATTAGAAGTGATAGTTCTGTTTGAAAGATACTAATTGAATAAGTTAATTATAGAAACAACCACTGCCATCTGCATAATGTTCCAGGGCAGGATATGTATGTGTAAAAGGTTTGAACAGTGCAGCCACCAACGTGGATTTTCATAATTTAAACAAGCCGGGCCGTATTAAACGTAGATTAATTGCCAAGGTGAAGATTTAATTTGATGAAAAAAATAATTTCCCTAATGTTTTATTTAACACTGCTGTATAATTAATTAAATCACCAGCAATTTATTATGAAGCAGCAACACAGGCTGTCGAGTCTAATGGGATAATGAAATGAATGCGGTGCTAATACAATGGATTCATTTCTGTCTTATTGAACAGATACTATTCAGTCTTATATGCTTTCACCTTTTCTGCAGAATGAGCAAATTGGATAGACTTCTCAATCATTGATATTTTCTCCCACGT